CGAGGGAATTTGGGGAAGTGAGAGAACTATTCTGTACCTTGACTCTGGCGCTGATTAAAGACTCTGTGCGTTTCTCAAAACTCACAACCAAACACCAAACAAGTTCATTATTCCCTGTGTAAATCTATAAATAATGTTTAAAAATTCAGCAATCTGTTCACTCCTTCAATTCACATATCCCTCCCTTAAGTCAACATACATATTTCTGAAAGCTGAGCGCAAGTGGGACTTTGGTACATTTAAATATTTAAAAATTTACCAAAGGAGCTTGCTTTTAAAAAGAATCTTAGTGTGCATTCTTTTGTGAAATAAACATAGTGCACCTGATATTCACTATTCTCTGTGTAAACCAGAGATCAGAATTTCATCAGCTGCTTAAAGTGAGGTGAATCTGCAACTCCGATGATTTTTCAGGACATTCTTTTTTTTTCCCCCGCAGTTTCCAAGAGCGGGATGGGTAAGTTATTCTCACAACTTTTCCAAAGAAAAAAAAGTAGAGCACTCCTAGGCTGTTCAAGTGCCCCCAGGATCAGCCACTGGAGAAACCTACATTCTCTGACTTAGCGAAGAGGACACTGGGAGGCTGAGTTCAGGCACCTGGCTGCACCAGGACTTGTCTTTCCTTAGACTGGACTCACAGCTAAAGGTCACTGGGGACTGAGCCCCGCTGAGCTGGCTCCCAGCCACATCCTTCCTCTCTCCCTGCCAGCCTCAGAACGCCCCCATGTCAAGTGCAAACAGCAACACCAGGAGAAGCCGGAAGTCGCCTTTGTCTCAGCCTGGAGCTTAATGACGTATGTCAGAGATGACACCTGTTCAACAAACCAGGTAAACTTTGTGCACCTTGTTTGGCTGCCCACAGTTAGCTCAGGTGCTCTGCCCGTCGGTTTGCACATCCTGGTCACAGGCTGAGTTTCAGGTTCAGCAGTCTTTCAACAAAATCACAGACAACTCTGCCTTTGCTCCTCCCAGGAAGGTGTTCCTCGCCTTGCTCAATAACTTCCTGAAAAAACAGCGGATGCAAATCTCATTGTTATCAATCACAGAGCATAATAAATGTCTAGGAGTACTGGAGTCCTCTCTAAAGCCAACCCGTGTGGCTTCTTCTACAAATTGAAATCTCCTTTTGCAAAGTAGCTAACACACCTCTCTTGTGAAACACACACACACATCACACACACGCGCGCATGTGTGTGCGCACCAGTTTCTCTGGCTACTAAATCCTTATTGGCATAAAGCAGAGTGTTTTGGTCTGGTGACAGTCCTGGGTTCCTAAAATTACCTATGCTTTGCAGTGATTCTGGGAGGCATCAGCTTGAACTTTATTGCTGGATATCAAAAACACTCTTGGGAGCTCCAAGCTCCTGGTGGATGCATTTCCTCTTCTTCCTAAAGCACACAGATGCTTCTGCCTCCCTCCCAGCTCCATCTAGCACTCCCCACTTGCACAGAAGGAGAAGGGAGTGCCAGAATTCAACACGAGGGGGAGGATATTCTTAAATAAAGCATGCATTTCATAAGAGGACATCATTAGAGTAGAATACGAATGTCCTCTCATGTAGCCAAAATACACCTAGAGTTTATTTTCTTTTTTGGGGGGATCTGGAAGGAATCAGTGGCAATGCTAAATTTTTTTAAACAAAGTTAAGTCAAACTGAAATTAATTGCCTTGGAAGGGAGGGAATAGCTCAGTGGTAGAGTGTGTGCTTAGCATGCACAAGTCCTGGGTTCAATCCCCAGTACCTCCATTAAAAAATAATGAATAAACAAACCTAATTACCTCTCCCCACAAACAACTAATAATAATAATTTTTAAATAAATTAATGAATTAATTGCTTTATTATCGAGAAGCCAAAGAGTATCCACTAAAAGAAAGAATTCACAGAACCCTTTTTCCAATCTATTCTTCGTTCTCTGCCAGGCTCGCCCTACACCAGCTGATCCAGCTGTTGGAGGAAAGGAACAGTAAGGAGGACTGGTAAACACCCCCGGACCCTGGCTCGTCTGGCATGCCAAGGCCGGCTCATCCTTGGGGATTCCGTGACTACACCAGCCACGGGAGCAGAACTGTTTAAAGAACTTTCTAAACCTGAGTCTCTAAGTCCTCATCCCACATCAAAAGAAAAATCTTTAATTTACACACATCCCCCATTCAGCATAATTTCTACATGGCCCTGGGAGAGCTAGCAGCTATCCAATAGCTGATCCAATGTTTTATAGACATTTAATTCAATGTTCGTTCATTTTGATTTCTCAGTTTTCTTTTCATATTTTGAAGTCAATACACTCCTTTTGGGTTTCCAAACATTCTCCTACTCATAATAAGGGCCTCCAACTTGGACAATTTGCCTTGAGAGTTTTTCCTTTAGGGTTATCTCCTGCATGTCTCTTGTGTAGACCCAGGGTGAGAGCTAGATCTTTGAGCAAAGGCTTCTCGGTACACTCTCTCTCATTCCCAAGCAAAGTAGCACGTGGCATATAATGAGCAATTGTCAGAATAGTTCGTGCCTCCAGTCTCAGCTGTAAGGCAAAGAAACACACGGGGGAAAAGTTCCCAAACTATGAAGGAGGTTCAGCACAACGATCAATTTTAAAACCTGAAGATTCGCGAGCATGCCTTGGTGCAGATCTGATTTGCAGATACAAAAAGTTTCATTCATTTCCTAGAGAAACACAAGTTAATATAATTTCGTTTAGAAATGCTGCTATCTGAAAAAGCATTCTAGTACAATAGAGTCCAGAAGCTGAGACAGATGTGGGTTTCCAGTTTGAAGGGTGAGAGATGGTGTGTCTCGGGTATTAATGAAAATCAGATGCCACCTTGTGGCCAGAAGTAGAAATTCAGGGATTTAACTGGGGCCGGGGGTAAAAAACGGGTTGCTCTGGGATTCAAACACTATAGAAATGCAACCACCGGTGACACAGACCACTCAAGTGACGACAGTGGACTCCCACATTAATCCTCAAAACACGTCTTTGCTCTAATCTATGACATCCTTACAGACATAATCCTTAATTCACACACATGCATTTACAAGCATCCAGGACACCATCCTCCTTCACTCCAATCCATAGGGCTGGTTGTCACCTCACCCTAAATTCAGTGTTGATTAACCCTGAAAATCTCTCAGGGAGATTTTGACCTCTGAAGAGTGGAGGTGACATCACAGATATGTTCAAGGGTGTTACATGATACACAATTTCTTTTCATGAACAAATAAAAGTCACTTTGGAAGGCAGTTTGGCAGTTTCCTACAAAACTAACATTCTTACCATGTAATCCAGTAATCACACTCCTTTCAGCCCAAAGGAGTTGAAAACCATGTGCACACAAAAACCTGTGCACAGGTGTTATAACAGCTTTATTCATAATTGCCAAAACTTGGAAGCAACCCAGATTTCCTTTAGAGGGTGAATGGATAAACAAACTGTGGTACAACCAGACAATGGAGTAATAATATTCAGAACTAAAAAGAAATGAGCTATCAAGCCATGAAAAGACATGGCGGAACTTTAAATGCATGTTACTAGGTAAGAGAAGCAAATCTGAAAAGGCTACATGCTCTGATTCCAACTATGTGACATCCTGGAAAAGTCAGAACTATGGAGAGAGCAGATTGATGGATGGTTGCCGGGGGTGACAGGGGAGGGAGGGGTGCGTAGTCAAGCGCATGAAATTTCTAGGGCAGTGAAACTGCCCTGCCTGATACTATAATGGTGGACACACGACATTCTATATTTGCTCAAACTCATCAAATGTACACCACCAACAGTGAACCCTAAAGTAAACTATGGTCTTTGGTTAATGAGTCAGTGTAGGTTCATCAGCTGTAACACAGGCACCACTCTGGTGGGGGATGTTGTTAATGGGGGAGGCTGTGTGTGGTGTGTAGGGTCAGGAGGTATACGGGAAATCTCTGTACTAAAGCATGTATTTTTTTCAAGTTTAGACATACAGACTTTGCAATAAAAAAATGCCACAGAAAAGCCTCATTGTTTCTTCCTAGAGTTATGTACAACGTGAAAATCAGGGCAAGGCTGCCATCACTTTCCTTAAGCAGCAGGCACTCAGTAGAACCAATTTTGTTTCAAGCACTCAGCCTGGAGTTCAACACAGACAACAGTTCTCACTCAGAATTTAAAATGACGTAGGCAAATTATTTAATTACTGCTGCACGGAGAAGCAACAATTAAAGACATTGATGTGAAATACATTTATAGCCATCACTTTCCGATACCAGATTCCTGGGGTTTTGTATTTTATTTGCAGCGTAGTTTAGGGAGTGAGAAGTGAGTTATCAGTAAAGCAAAATGATAATGACTGATTCTCTGTGGAAGGCAGGCTAAAAGGTCTGTGATGATTCTCCTTATCTCATAAAAATATGTCATATACTTTAATAACGGGCTTGGAGACTGGATAAGTGCCTATGTCAAAAGAACACAGGCACTAACCATTATGTATAAAGTAGATAAACAACAAGGTTCTACTCTATAGCACAAGGAACTATATTCAATACCTTGTAATAACCTATAATAAAAAAGAATATGAAAACGAACATATATATACAACTGTATCACTATGCTGTATACACCAGAAATTAACACAACATTGTAAATCAACTACACCTCAATTAAAAAAAAAAACATACGTTATTGCAGCTGCGGGAACTATTTTAGGCCATCTGACCCAACCCATACTTTTTGCAGATGAGGAATCTAGGACAGAGGGATGAAATGAGATGTCCAAGGTCACTCAAGATAGCCCAACTACTTAGTGACCACCAGGACTGCTGTCTAGGCCTTCGGACTGTACCCGTCTGCGATGGTTCAGTGGTTAAGACAGACCAGAGCAAATAAATGACTTCATGATACCAGCAAATTAAAAAGATATTCTTGTATTAGCATTCACTATAAGGTAATTGTCTGCTTTTCAAATCTGGCTTTTAGAAACTTGCTGCTCTTAAAAACAGAAGAATTACAGGGTGGAAATAGAAGATAGCATTAGTAAACAAAGATTTCTGACCTAAGTCAACTCAGCAAAAATATAATCTCTTCAAAAGAGGAAGCTGGATGAAATGAAGCATGACGGGAAGGATCTAGGAACACTCGTGAATGAGTGCTCTTGGCAACCGGAGCTCGCTGGAGCACCCTGAGGTGTCCTCCGCCCAGAGGACTTTCATGCCTCCCCATCACCTAGCGAGTAAAGGTCACTCTCCTCAGGGTGACCGTCAGAGCTCGGATTTGCAGCTCCGCACCAGGGCTTCTCCCACGACGCCCTGACGGCTGCTGCGGCTGCAGACTGAGCTGTTGTCCCAAACTGTAATCATGACTCTGAGGCCACCCACGCCTTCTGCCTCAGACTAGAGTCAGGGCTTTATTTCCCTGTAAACAGCACTAGCCCATCTCCACCCCTCCCCGTGGCTCCAGCGGTTGTGTCTGTCTCTCCTCCAACCCTGGGCTTATATTCTTCTCTGAGATGTGGCCTTAAGGTCACTCTCGCGGGGAGGAGTGGAGTCTCTCCCGGAAGAGGTAGCCGGTCAGCTAGAGGCCGTGGGAACTCAGACAGGAGGAGACCCTGGCTCAGGAGGAAAGGAAAGCCCTTCCTTTCATGGCTTGTCTGGGCTGGAGTCTGAAGAGCGTGGCTGTGCTGGAGTGATGAAGACGGTCTCTGATACAGGAGGAACCAGCACTGGAGGGGACCCGGGTTGAAGATGAGAAGCGTGTCCAGCATCTCTTTCTCTTGGCAAAACCGCACCGAACATGTACCAGCTACCAAGCCCTGTGCCATGTGCCAGCAGTGGTGAGCTGGTAAGCTGGCTCTTCAAAAAGAAGGAGCCCTGATTTACAGCCCTTGCCTGTTTCTGTCGTGTAAATATTCCTCCCATTGCTGATTTCAAGCAACCAACGTGACATTACTGAATGCGAAGCTGGGAAGTGCAGTCGGCTCCAGGAGCAGGTGCGGGACACCCCAGCATACCACTGGTGGGGACAAGTGTCTCACAGAGCTTCGTCAAATGGAATCTCGTTACTGTTTTCAGTCCACGGCAGCCTCCACTATCATCTTGTTGGGTCTAGATTTGACATCTTCCCTTAGTCTTCTATTAGGCTGTACGGCCTGAAAGGGCGGGAACCACATTTATACTTGGCTCCTGTCCCCACAGCACCAGGCATGATGCTCTGCTCCTGGAAGGCACCCTGATCTCCTGGCCGATGGATTTTTGTGGGGCAGGGAGAGGAGAACTCGCTGCTGAATGGATATGTATGCATTGAAGGCAGGTCCTCCCATGCTTGCCACCCCACCCGGAGTGGACGCAATCACAAGCCACAAGTCACTTGGGGAAGCACAGCATCGACCTTTAGTAAAACTGCAAAGCAGGAAGCGTATCTATCTCCAGCCTCCTCCACTCTCTGATCGGCAATCCGGCCCGCCTCCTGGCACCCTTGCCCATGGCGGGTGCTCCGGCCTGCCCTCAATTCTGACTCTCCACCCTGACTAAAGCCTTCGGTGGTTATGCAGAAAGCAGGTGCTCTGAGCTCCAAAACAGGGAGATGAGTCCAGAGCTGTCTCTGTTCTCTCAAAGGGGTCTGAGACTCCCCCTCCCTCATCCCAACTCCCGACACCAGAATAGGTCTAGTTCCCTGGCTTAAGCTGTGACCTTCACGAAGTACGTGTGGACTCTGGTCACCCTCGGGGTCTCCCATTGATTGAAGCTCCATGAACGGTTTAGTGTGTGTGTGTGTGCGTGAGA